ATCTGGTCTACTCTACTCAACTTCTCCTTTTTCATATAATGGAAAGCCATATGGATCCAACATCATGGCGTAAAGGGTTAAAAGCAACTGCCTGTAATGGTGGCCTACCCTATTGCTGCCAGCTACTCCATTTCCCGTCCAGTTCCCTCCTAATGTGCTGGGAAAGCAACAGAAGATGGTCCAAGGGCTGGGGCTCCTGCACCCATGTAGGAGACCCTGAAGAAACTGCTAGCTTTTCGCTTCGGTCTGGCCCAGCCCCGGCCATTTTGGATGAAAGAATTCTCTCTCTCTCTCTCCCTCTCCTCTCCTCGCCTCTTCTCTCCTCTCCTCTCCTCTCCTCTATAACTTTGTCTTTCTAATAAAATAGATAGATAGATATAAATAAATTAGCATATGAATAAAAATGGAAGTTTCTGTGAAACTCTTGCCCAAAACCAGTGCCAGCTGAAGTTATCCAACATGGTTGCTGACTGCATTTCTATTGCAACCTGTAGTTATGTGTAATCTCATTATAATAAAATTAAAATGACTGATACCCCCCTATTTCTGTGATGTACCTGAGGACATGACATTTCTGATATTTCAAAAAAAAAAAAATCAAGACAATGGAAGGCACTCAAATACCACTTAGTATGAATATTTAATTAATCTCGGCCCTGGATAGCACCCCTGTGCCTGCACATGCTCACTGGGTCAGCTCACCCTGGAGCCTGCCCAGACCGCCTCTAGAGTGTGTGCCATCACTTAGTTAGCAACACATCTCTTTTGTTACCCTTTATATCTCATTCTTGAGTGCTTTCTTACGTTGGAGACAAGAACCTGGACCAAGTCATCTCATAACATGGTCATTACAGAAAATGAGATATAGCTTCCTCAAGAACGTTACAATCACTATATAATAATATAGCATCCTCATGACCTGGTATGCACTCAAAGTTGTAGAATTCATTTTATCAAAGAAAGATCTACACACTCGTGTTTTGTGTTTTCTGCAGAAATAGTCACAATTGTCAAGAAATGGAATCAATGCTGATGAATGGATAAAAATCTGTGGCATATAACCACAGTGAAAGAGTATTCAGTGAAATCCTGTCATTTGCAGCAACATGAATAGAATAGAGGACATTGAACTAAGATAAACATAAGAGTAGTTCAAGAATTTTGTGGGAGAAAGGAATTAAAAGTTAGCCCACATTTCCTATGAAATTTTTGGAAATCCGTGTAAGCTACGGACAAACAAATATCCCATTTTCTCAGCTGTGGAAGCTAAAACATTGATCACATAAAAGAGAGTAGGACAGAGTTCACTAGAGGTTAGAAATGGAAGGAGAGCCAGGGGGTGTGACAGAGGAGGCAGTGGATACCAAAACAGAATTAGAGAAGAGGAAGTAGATGTTTTCTTAAAATGTATTTCTGTATTTGAAATGCAAAGTTACGGAGAGAAAGAGATGGTGGGGAGAGAGAGAGAGAGAGAAAGAGAGAGAGAGAGAGAGAGAGAGAGAGAGAGAGAGAGATAATCCATTCATGGGTTCCTTCCTGCAATGGCTGGGCCTGAGCCTCATGGAAGCCGGGAAGCAGGAACTTCTCACAAGTCTCCCACATGAGTGAAAGGGCCCAAGCACTTGGGCTATCTTCCACTGCTTTTCCAGGTATGTTAGCGGGGAACTGGATTGGAAGTGGAGCAGCCAGGACTTGAACTAGCACCCATACAGGATAATAGCATTGCAGGCAGAGTCTTAACCAGTTATGCCCCAATGCCAGTCCCCAGGAAGTAGTTTTAGTGTAATATAGCATAATAGCACAACTATAATCTATAATAATTAATCATTTTTTCAAACTAACTGGAGGATAGGAGTTTGGAAGTTCTTCCACAAAAAGAAATGATAATATTCGAGGTGGAAAGGTTAATGATCCTGATTTGATCACCACACATTGCATAATATTGAATTATAACATTGTGCCACATAAATATTTTGTCAATTAAAATACATAACAGAAAGATGTCTTAGGATGTTATATTCCTATAGAAAATCTTACATATCATAAACTACACACTGATTTTTTGTCTTCTTTCATTACTTTAATTTCAATGAATATTTTATTGTAGTTCCATATTTGCTGCCAAATAACAGAAATATAATGAACTGTAACTTTCTTTTGTTTTTTTTAAAGATTTATTTTATTTATTGGAAAGTCAGATATACAGAGAGCAGGAGAGACAGAGAGGGAGATCTTCCATCCGATGATTCACACCCCAAGTGAGTGCAATGGCAGATGCTATGCCGATCCGAAGCCAGGAGCCTCTTCCGGGTCTCCCACGCGGGTGCAGAGTCCCAAAGCTTTGGGCCATCCTCGACTGCTTTCCCAGGCCACAAGCAGAGAGCTGGATGGGAAGTGGGGCTGCCGGGATTAGAACCGGCGCCCATATGGGATTCAGGCGTGTTCAAGGTGAGGACTTAGGCTGCTATGCTACGCCGCCGGTCCGAACTGTAACTTTCTAATATATATTTGTTTTTCAAAAAATTAGGCTTATTTACTTTCAAAGTCAGAGAGGGGAAGAAAGAGAAAGAGACAGATTTCATCCACTTGTTCATTTTCCATGTTGTCACAACAGCCCAGGCTGATCCGTGCAGAAGCCAGGAACCAGGAGTTTCACTCGGGTCTTCCTTGTGGATGACAGAGGTCCGATCACCTGGGCCAACCTCTTCCGCTGCTTTCCTGGGTGTATTAACAGGGAGCATGGATTGAAGTGGAATAGGTGTGACTTGAACTGGCACCCAAATGGGGTGCTGGCATTACAGGTGGGGTGGGTTAACCTGCTTCACCAGGCCCCACCGGGACTCCGCCCTGAAGCTCCCAGACCCTGCACACACTGCTCCTAGACTGGCATAGCTTACCTCACTTAGGCATCCACCAGTGGGTGCTCAACCTGGCTTTGTAATAGCCTGCCCCAGTTCCAGCTTCTGCTGGCGGGTGCTGCTGCCTAACCCAGTCCAGCCAGCCCCCAGTCCTGGCCCTAATGTGGACTGGCTGGTGTTGAGGTCAGACCCAGCCCCTTCTGCATCCTGTCCTGGTTCTCAGATCTGCCAGGGATGTTATAAACTGGTCCAGCCTGGCCCACCCCAGACCTGACCCACATGTATGCTGGCAGGTACTGCGACCTGGCATGTTCTGGGCTGCTCCTTGCCTTGGTTCTTGCACTCACCTGCAGGGAATGTGTCCAAAGAAGTTTCCCAAGCTTCTCTATCAGAACTCCTCCCAGTGGCAAATCTTGTGCACACTGGTTGGTCTCTGGCCCAGGTTGACTTTGTCCATCTCTTGCCCTGGCAGGAAAAATGTCCTTGCCTAACTGGCTGACATCCTTCCAGTTCTTAGTGTTGAGTGTTACAGCCCAGTCATACCTGGTTCATGCCCAGACACAGCTCTCATATGGTTCAATGGGAGCCAAGACCTAGCCCAGCCTCAATCTACACCCATCCTGGCTCTCATGAGTACCAGTGCGTGTTGGAGTCTAGTCCAGTCTGGCACTCCCCAGTCTAGCCCAGTCCACATCCATGCTGAGGGAGATTGCAGCTGTGTTCAGCCCGGCCCACTGCCCCCATTCTTGCTCTCACACTCACCAATGGGAACTCTAAACCAGCTGGGGCTCCCCAGCTCCCCAACCAGGCCTGTTGCCAGCCACAGATCTTGTGTGTGCCAGTGGAGATTACAGTTTCACAGCAGTGAACCCACATACCCCTCTCCCAACATATTCTGCCCCCAGACCTGATTCTGTCACGTGTTGGTTATTGCCATGACACAGCCTAACAGTACCTGTCCCAACCCTCACTGGTGATTGAATTATAAATGACCTAGAAAACAGATATCCATACAAGTCCATTACCATGATTAGTTCAAGGAAACCCCTTGCCTCCCAGCTGCTGTTTTTGCAAAGTATCTTATACTTTCAAAAGCTTTGGAAGTCAGTAGAGCATATCAGGGTGGAGGGTGAGTTAAGTCACCATGTTGATTTAATTCCGACCAAGTTAGCTATCTTTTAGATGAATTATGACCAATACACACACACTACAAAACTTCTTGAAAGGAAATGAGTAATTTTTCCAACTTTAAAAAAAATTGTAATAGGCCAGTTTACTTGTTATCATCCAGTTGAACAGAATAAAGTATATTTCATTATAGAGTGAAAAAAATCTCAACATTTCACATATAAAGATTGACTTCATGAAAAATTAAAAAAAAACTTCTTCCATTGTCTGGAAGCAAAAGCAAATATAGTGTAAGCAATTTGTAGGGTATTTTTCTTTTTAAATTCAGACAAAATGTTTCTCTCCAGTCGGATTTTTCTTCTTCTTGGGTTAGACAATAACATATAAATAAGTAATGAATAAATAAATAAATTTAATTAAGTCTCCAGTAGTATCATTAAGAAATGCTGAAGACACGACCATAGATCTCAGTTATACAGATTAATGTTTAATTATCATCAATCTAGTACAAGCACAACTTGTGAGGGAGTAAAGACAAGCTTACTCCTGAAATATTTTAGTGGATTCAGCTGCTTCAATCTAGGGGCAGTTCATCCAGTTGCATATCAACAGGGCCCTTTTTCTTTATACTGAGGAGCCAGCAACTACTCAGATTTCTCAGTTATCAATAGCTGCAGGAACTCTGACGCGAACATCTGGTACAGTTTACGTAGATCTGGCCTTACTAAACATAAGACATTCCTCGAGTAGGCTTCTGGATTTAAATGCTCAAGTGCAAAAGTGATTAACCATGCAGCGCACACACAGCGAGCTCTTCATTCGGAACAGGTGCCCGTCAGTTCGCGTTCCTTCAGGGGATGCTCCGGGCGCGCTTCTGGAGGGTGCGGCCAGGAGGCGCCCGTCGAAATCGGCGTCGCTAACGACAGGCACGCCCCCGCTCTGCCAGTACGCTCTTTCCTCCGGCTCCCTCTCGTTGAGCTCAGCTTCCGGCGGAAGGGACTTAAGTCTGCTGTTGTCGTCCGGCGGTGGGGGTGGACGGCGGTCTCCTGGTCCGGGAAGGGACAGGGGGACGCGGGGCTGACGCCAGGCGTCGAGATGGACATCCTCAAATCCGAGATTCTGCGGAAGCGTCAGCTGGTGGAGGACAGGAACCTGTTGGTGGTGAGAATCCGTGGGGTCGGGAGTTGTGTTTGTGAGACAGAAGGGGGTGGAAGGATTCGGGGTGCCGTCACCCTACCGGGGAGCCCCCCCGTCATTGCACTTCTTGGTGGCCTCGGCTGAAAGTCCGGGCTTTTGGAGTTTTTCCCCTAAACTCTCACCCGTCCTTAGGACGTGTCGCAGCTCTTTCCGTAGTTCACCGTATCGTCTGACTCAGTACTGGTTCGCTGGCATTTTTCAAGTTTCTTTGCTTTTAGTAAAACCCTCCCATTTTATTCTGTCCTGTTCTCCTGCCTCTCCGCTTCCCCAGCACACACAGCTTCCGTAGGTCATCTTTTCACGAACGGGAAAGCTAAGACACTTGGCAAGAGGTACTGAGAAAGAACTACGCCGTTTAGAAACTTTAAAACAGTTGGTCTCCTTTATAGGAGACCGGTGGTTCTCACAGCGTTTGGTTTCAGACTCTCTGGACAGTCTCAGGAAGCTATTAAAGATCTCGAAGGGCTTTTTGTTGTATGCATTCAGACTTGCCATATTAAAAAGTAAAACTAAGAAGCTTTTAAGACTGTGTATGTATATCTTTATTCAGATTTTGAAACTGTCTCACCAAGTTAGGGAGAGAAAGATTTTCCATCCCCTGGTTCTCTCTCCAAGTGACTGTGCTGGCTGTGCTGAGTTGAGCAAAGCCAGAAGCCAGGAGCTTCTTCCGGGTCTCCCACATGGGTGTAGGGGTCTGAGGACTTCAGCCATCCTCCCCATTTCTTTCCCAGGCCATAAGTAGGGAGCCAGATTGGAAATGGAGCAGCCGGGACTCCAACCGGTATGCCCATACTGGATGCCAGGGCCACAGAGAGAGGATTAGCTTACTAAACCATGGTGACAGCCCTTCCACAGCTGGTGCTGAGCCAGTCCAAAGACAAGAGCCAGAAGCTCTTCCAGGTCTCCCACGTGGGTGCAGGGTCCCAAGGCTTTGGGCTGTCCTTGCCTGTTTTCCCAAGCCACAAGCAGGGAGCTGGATGGGAAGTGGACCTGCCGGGATTAGAACCAGCGCCCATATGGGATCCCGGCACATGTAAGGTGAGGACTTTAGCTGCTAGGCTAACATGCTGGGCCCTACAGGAGCTTTTTATTTTCATGAGTAGTTTGGGACTATTTTAAAAACATATTTAGGTGTTGGAATGTTTGTTTGGTGTTAGGTAGAGGTAGGGTCAGGGTGTTGAAATCTAAGTGCTTTAAAAGGGGGAAGTTGTGTCACAAAATACTTTGGAGTTTACCAGTTTGTATTTGTATAATCAGATCTTCTGTCATAGAAATGGACGGGTCTTTGAAAATGACCAATTCAAAAAACCTGATATTTTGTAATTATTCTTATTTAGTTACTTGAATGGCAGAGAGATAGAAAGAAAGGAGATTTTTATTCCATTGGTTTGCTCCCTAATGTCCACATGGGCAGAGGTGGGCACTGTCGAAAAAGAAACCAGGAGCTGGGCCTGGGTCTCACTTGGTGGCACAGCCCTTACGCACTGCCTCCCAGGTGCCCTGTTGCAGCTTAACCATCAGGTGGCTGTTTTCAATTTATCCTATAAAATGCCACCTGGGATGCCTTTTGTTTTTAGAATTTGTGGGCTTAATTAGCTAGATAACCTTGGCCAGAAGATAAAATTGACCTTCTTATAGAGCAATTCAGACCAACAAACGGTATACATGAGCTGGAAATTAAAATGGTGCAGAGTTTCTGTTAGTAGTCATCAAGGCAGTATATAAAGCAGTGCTTTGTATGTGATATCTTTATTCCTTTTTTCACTTTTTTATTATCATCATTTTAGAATATAGTTCCTTAAGTGCTGCGATTTTCCTTACTCCTTCCCCAAATCCTCAGTGAATTCTCCCATATCATTACAACAGTGTAATTCCTCATTAACGGTCATAAATCCATCATTGCGGGCATGGACAATGGCAGAGAGTCCAGCATCCCATTGTCGTATAGTAAACAGATTCATTGGAAGTCCATCCTAGATTTGGGAGTAGAGATGCACACTGCATTGTATCCTCACATCTGGACATGTCAGTCTCCACTACGCAGTCACTATACAACCCCCAAGTGAAAAGCCACAAAACAAAATCAACAGGAAGAAAAACAAATTTAGGATGACATGGAGTTAAACAACATACCACTCATGTGATAGTCTTGATTGCACAGTTACTAACCATCCTCTTAAATGAAAAGCCACAAAATCAAAATCAACAAGAGGAAGAAAAAAATTTACAACGCCATTAAGTTAGATAACATGCTACTGAATGACGAATGTGTCACTGAAGAAAGGGAAAAGAATATCAAGAACCTTCTTGAAGAGAACGATGCTACTGTATGATCTATGAGTCAGTGAAGAATCTAATGAGAAAAATAAGTGTTTTGAAGAAATGGAACTAAAAACAAAAACGTCAAAATCTGAAATGTAGTCTCTGTTGATCTTTATTGGTGAGATGTATCCCTGTAGGCAACAAATAGATTTTTTTTAAAGTTCAGTCTATTAATTTGTGACGTTTGATTGATGAGTATAAGCCATTTACATTCAGGGTAACTAACATAAATAGGTGGTAATTTGGTGCTGTCATTTAGCAATGGGTTGTTCATTGATTCGGTCTTCTATTGTTTTACTGGGATGTTTTTCACATTTGCCTTTGGTTTTGGTGGGCACTATTCCTTTTCTCTGTCAAGAGAACAGCTTTAAGTATCCTTTGTAGGGCAGGTTTGGAAGAGGCAAATTCTTTTAACTTTTCTTGACTGTGGAAGAATTTTATTTCATTTTCAAAGATAAAGGAAAGGTTTCCTGAGATTGTTATTCTGGGACAACAGTTTTTTACTTTTAGAATCTGGAATATGTTGCGTTATTCTCTTCTGGCCTGTGGAGTTTCCTGTGAGAGGTCAGCTGTGAGTTTAATTGGCATTCCTCTATATGTCAATTGATTCTTTTCACGTGCACATTTAAGGATTTTTTTCCTTATGTTCGATTGAAGAGAGCTTGATGATCATGTGTCTTGGTGAAGATTGCTTTTGGTCAAGCCTGTTGGGAGTTCTGTGCTCCTCCTGGATGTTGTTTCCTAATTCTTTCTCCAGATTAGGGAAGTTTTCCCCTATTATTTCATTAAATACATTTATAAACCCAGTTTCTCTTTCTGCTTCTTCTGCGACTCCTAAAACTCTTATATTTGGCCTTTTAATAGTGTCTCTTAATTCTTAAATACTTTTTTTTTAGCTTGACCCAGCTCTGCTTCCAGCTTTTTGTTTGTTTCTCCCTGGTGACAAGAAATATCTTCCAATTTTGAGAATCTTCTGCTTCCATCATTGTATTATTGAGACTTTCCATTGAATATCTAATTTGCTTTATTGCATCTTTCATTTCCAATAATTCAGCTTGATTTTGTTTCAGTGTTGGTATTTTCTGTATGATATATTGCTTAAATTCCTTCTCATTGTTAAGAAGCTTTGTAACAAGTGTTTTGAATTTTGTATCCCCTATTTTCTCATTGTCTTCCTCGTTAACTCTAAGGTTGGCAAAAACTTTTGCTCCTTTGCAGGGGAGTCTTCAGTAAAACTCATTGTGCCTCTGTCTCTTCTGCTCTTGGCCATTGTACTTGTGGTTATCAGATTCTTCTCCTTGGGGCAGGTTTGTAAGCTGTGTCACCCCGCGTCTACAGTTCGGTTTTACTTATTGCAGTTGGTACCCAGTTCTTTGTTTGCAGTCACTTGTGCCACTCCCTCCAGCGAAATCGGATCTGGGCTCTTATGTTAGGTTTCCTCCGTGGGCTCTGGAGCTCCAGCTCCTGGCTCACCTCTCCACCTCCTGCGATACTGCACTGGGGCAGCACCATTGTCTGTATACTCTTTCTCCCACTTACGGTTTGAGCAATTTCCAGGATTGGGGAGACACTAGGTATCCTAAATAGGTTGTTGGCAGTGTTGATCTTGCTGGAGCCTGCTGGCCGTTAGGCCTGAGGGCCACAGGGACTGTTTTGAGTCGTACGTTGTCGAAGTTAGTATTATTTTCTCTGTGGGACCAGTGCAATGTACTGAGCTCAGTGAGTTTGCTCCCAACTCAGTGCCTGTGCAGCTCACTGTTGTCCCTGCAGTCTCAAGGCCTTTGCCACAGTGTGAAAAATTGCACCTGATGTGCTACTTGTGGAGTTCTGGATCTGCTGGCCTACCTGGGTTGGGTCCTACCTGGTCCTGTTTTGAGTGGAACCTGTAGGATGCAGCGTTGTTGCGTTGTTGCAATTTACTGAGCCAGAAATGACTTCACTCCCAGCTTAGCGCATGCGCAGTACTGTCCCTCTTTGCCTCCCTACACGAGATGGCACCTGATTAATCCACTCTGTTCCTACACAGCCCGTCTGGGACCTGCTGCTCTGTCAAATCAAACAAACCAGCAGGACGGGCAGTTCTTTTTTGAGTTACCTCCTGAATTCCTGGTGAACTCCCCTTCCCACCTTGTTGCTGGTGGAGTTCCGATTGCTGCTTGCTGAATGCCGGTGGGGTATCAGGTCAGTGCAACACCACAGCACTGTCTCTGCTCCTTTCCTGTGTCCATCACTATCCAGGTGCCCCTCTGCCATCAGTCTGTCCTCCCTATTTCCTGGACTGTGCCCTTTCTGTTTCACCCTAGCTAATGTTTCTCCATCTATTTAAATGTGTCCTTAACCCATTCTGCTATCTTGATTCTCCCAAGTTTTACCTTTTTTAAACTTCATGATAGGGGCCTGGCATAATAGCTTATTGTCTAAATCCTTGCTTTGTGTGCACCAGAATTCCATATTGGTGCCGGTCTGTGTCTGGGCTGCTCCGTTTCCCACCCAGTCTCCTGCCTGCGGCCTGGGAAAGCAGTGGAAGAGACATTTTCATGATACCTCTTAATCCAACAAGCCCATCATGCTGCTTTTATTCCCATTAACAATGAGGAAGTTGAAGAGATTTTTGTGTGTTTTGTAAGATCACAGAGCTAGGA